CGTCATCGTCACCGTCACCATCATCGACATCGCCACCATCTGCAGAAGCAACATCAACGGGCTAGAAATTCATGCCCCCCCTGCGTTTTGAATGGCAAAACCCTTAATAAAGACCCTAAAAGATCCAGTCCGTAATGAGAAATATGTACGCAGGAATCCTTAATGACGAACCGTTACTGCACCAAACATCCTCACAAAAGAATATGGATTAAGGAACCCTTGATAACGAATATGTAATATGGACTCCTTACTAAGGTAGATTCACTGGAAAATTCTGCATAAGGGATATTTGATATTCAACCATTGATAAGGCATCTGTTTTGAACCGTTTGCTAAGGAATCCTGGGTGCAAGAATCTGTAGGAAAGAATCCTTTGTAGGGAACCGTTACGGAGAGATCCTGAATGAGGAATCTGATTTGGGAAACTATATGGAAAACGCACGAAAAATACTCAAACTGAGTAATTACTAAGGGGTCCTTGGTAATGGGTTTGTACGAAAGAGTCCCACTGTTAAAAGATATGTAATGAGGAATCCGTAGTAAGGAACGTTGACTAATGAAGAAAGAAAAGAACCTTCACTAAGAAACCCTCCAAAAGGAAGGCAAAATTACTACGGAATCATTGGAGGGGAACCTGTACTGGTGATTCACTTGTTGTTTGTTGCATTTCTTTCTTATTCTATAAAAAATATGAGACGAAGAAAAAAACGTCACCAAGGAGTCCTCAATGAGGAGCATTGGCTGAGGAATCATTGACCAGGACCCTGTACTGAAGAAGTCGTAAAGGAATATGTTCAAAGGAACCCTTTTACTAAGAACCTGCGTGCTGAAGAATCCTGACACATAATATTAAATCTGCACTACAGAACCATGAGCGCGGAACCATTACTACGGAATCCACAATGAAGAATATGCCACACATAATCCTCCATTAGGAAATTTTACTGAGGACACCTCAATAAGGAGTAGTTACAACGGGGTCCTTACTCAGGAGTCATTACTGGTGAATCCTCCATAATGGATCTGTATTGAATGACCCTTCATGGAATCTGTACAAAGGAACTCTTACTATGCAACCTGTACTACGGAACCCTTTCATGAAGAACCTGTACTGGGGAACACTGATAAATACGAAAGAACCCTCAATAACGAACATTGAATACGGAACCCTTGATACTCATTATGTACTTCTGCATCCTTACTAAGGAATATGTACTACGAAACACTTAATGAGGAGCTTGTACTAAGGACCCCTTTCATATATGACTATATATATATGCACTGAGGACTTCTCAATCAGAAACTTGCACCAAGGATAATCTGTTTCCTGAAAAAGAATCTGTATTCTGGAATCGTCAATGAGGGGGTTTACGAATGAATCCCGAATGAGGAATTTTGACTGGGAGGAATCCGTAGTAAGGAAGATTTGTTAACGGGACCCTTCATAAGGAACATGTGCTCAAAAATCCTTAATGAAATATCTGTTTTAAGGAATCCGCAATAAGGAACCTGTACTGAAGAATTGTTACGGAACCCTTAATAAGGAATCTTTCCCGCGGAATCCTTATTAACGAATATGTACGAAGGAATTCTGAATAAGATCCTGAATTAAGGAATCCTTAGCAAGAAATATTTCCTAAGGAGTCCCTGGCGCTGCCAGCTTCCTCAGGGGTCTGTGGTACGGGAAAACACTAGAGACAAAAAAAAGCCCCTCGCTCCACTGATCCCGTTTTTTTGGTTCGGGCCCGCCCGGGAAAAAAACTGAGCCAGTGGATTCAGGGGACCGTTTCTCTGGTTGCTGGGACCTTTCCCCTAGCTAGGGCCAGTCTCTCTCCTCCCCCGCCACTACAGGAATCACTTTGGACCCCCCCCCGCACAAAAGGGAATAGATTTGTAACCTCTACAAAAATGGTCCCCACACAAAAAGGAGTCTGTGTAACCACCCAGGAAAGGAAAGTTACTCGTAACCTTCCACAAAGGGATTCCACCAGGCCCCCAATGCGCCAGAAGCCCGAAAACACATAAGACGACGACACATCCTTATGAGAAACCGCCATGTAATGTTTCCAGAAACGCAGGGGGACCCAAACAAGCCTGAAATCCATCATCGTCATCAGCATCAGCATCATCAAAATCAACCACAACATCATCCTCATCATAATCATCAGCATCATCATCATCAGCAGCATCAGCAGCATCAGCATCACCATGAACAACAACAACAACAACAACAACAACAACAACAACAATACAACAACAACAACAACAACAACAACAACAACAACAATCATTTTACCCGAACGCTCAGTGTTCTCACCAGTGCCAGGGTTTTCATGCGACGCGAGACAATACCCCCACTTCGTGGGGGGGCAGTTCAAGCTCTACCAAATATCCAAACGACTCTTCGCGACCACCCAAACCCAGCTTCCCGCCCTATGACGTTGGGACACTTCACTTCGTGGCGTGCGGACGACCGTGGCTACTACACTGGCGTGGGGTACACACCCACAGAACTTGGTCACTTATTCGGGGCGCGCGTGTGCCCAGCATCCTGCAATTGTGACATACAATACATGACACAGACAGACAGAGAGAGAGACAGAGAGCAGACAGAGAGAGAGACAGAGAGAGCGGAGTTGGTCACATTTTTGGGGCAAGTTCCTGAGATCGTCGTGTTTTTTGTTGGTCTTGCGCGCGCGAATGTCCACTTTACTTTTTTTTGCAAGGGAGTATTGAAATTTGATTATGTTAGAACAAGAAAAAGTAGCTCGCGCGAGCTCATGTAACATAAATGTTGAAAAACCATTGGTTTTGTGGGAGTCGGACAGCGCGCGCGGGATGAAATTTGGACATTTTTTTTTGAAAAACCATTGGGTTTTTGATGTTTTTATGTTGAAATCGTTACGAAACCTAAGGTTCTGGAAGGATTTCGTCTTGCGCGCGCGAATGTCCACTTTACCTTATTTTTTGCAAGGGATTATTGAAATTTGATTATGTTAGAACAAGAAAAAGTAGCTCGCGCGAGCTCATGTAACATAAATGTTGAAAAACCATTGGTTTTGTGGGATTCGGACAGCGCGCGCGGAAGGACATTTTGACAATTTTTTCTTAAAAAACCATTGGGTTTTTGATGTTTTTATGTTAAAATCGCTACGAAACCTAAGGTTTTGGAAGGATTTCGTCTTGCGCGCACGAATGTCCACTTTACCTTATTTTTTGCAAGGGATTCTTGCAATTTGATCAAGTAAGAACAAGAATTTTCATTTTATAGTGTTTTTTGCAAGGGAAAACGGATTACAACAAAACAACCGGATCCGGACACAATCGTTTTGCCTGAGACTTCCTCACGAAAATGATGAAAATGTGGCTGCGGCCTAGGCGCGGCGGGGGGGTCGTGCACCAGGGGTCCCAACAATAATTATTCTTAAGAAGAAATAATGTTCAACAACAACAATCACAACAACAACAACTACAACAACAACAAAAGCAGCGCCATCTTCATCACCATCATCACCATCATCACCATCATCATCAGTATCAACATCCGTAGCGCCAGCATCAACATCATCATTATCATTCTCATCATCGCCCGTCCATTACTCCTACTCCTCCGCATCCTCGTCATCCCTCCTCTGCACCCGCATCCTCTGCCATTTCTCCTCCAACCTCATCCCCAGAGATCCGACGTCGCGATCGTTTCACAACGTGGTCCCCCAGCAAACTGGAGCCCTTCCCAGGTATCCGCTTTTCATCTGGAGCCGTTGCGTGACGGCCTCGGGGCTCGACAGAGGTCCCCAGGGACAGGACATGGCCCACAAATTCGGTATTGCTTCTTCCACGACGCGAGGTGGTCTGGCTTTCGGGCCAGCGGCCCTTCGGGGCGATTCGGGCACCCCAGAACGCTCTCGGCGAGGGGCAGCTACAGAAAAGCACCCCGAGGCATACCAACACAACTACAGTTCAAGCTGCTGCAAGAAGGGACGCGAAGTGAGGAACGAAGCCCCTTCTTGGCACCAAGCGAGCCTGGGTGCACGAGCAAGGCCAGAGGAACAACCACGGGATGACCTAAGGAACAACCACGGAAGGACCCAAAGCAGTCCTGATTTCAGCGTCCTGACTGTACCGCCGTGTTTTCTCTACGCCGCGAGGTAGTTTGGTTTTCGGGTCAGAATCCAAGTCTCCAGCAGCCGTTCGGGACGATCCGGGCACCCCGGAGCGCTCTCGGCGAGGGGCAGCTGCACAGAGCTGGAGAGCTTCTGGAAACCGTCGAAGGGCCCCCTGTTCCCAGACATCCAGTCTAAACGCCGACATGATTTCTCCACGAAAGCACGACAACACCCTGGAGCATCGCAGCAGTCGGGGGAGGCCAAGATGGGGGCGTCCAAGAGGGGGGAGCACAAATCATGGCCGGCGGCATGTGCGCGGCCCAGGAGGGGGGGGCAGGGACGTATTGAAATAAGAAGAGTCGCCATTGAGGAGATATCGTGGCCCCTGCCATGATATCCCCCCCGTAGGCATCACCCCCCTCTTAACCGCGTCCGACAGCAGAACTACAGCCGTGTTTCCTTTTCGACGCCGGGCCGCGCGCGCGCTCGAGGGGGCGCGGCCGTGCTGCCCAGTGCCGCGTGGCGCCCGCGCCCCCGTCGAGGCCCCGCCCTCCGAAGCGAGCCGCCTTCCGTGCTGGCAGGCACACCACCAGACGAACCTGCTGCTGAGCGCGCAGGAAGAGGAGGAGGAGGAGGAGGAGGAGGAGGAGGAGGAGGAGGAGAGGAGGAGGAGGGACGAGGAGGAGAGGGAGGAGGAGGAGGAGGAGGGGAGGAGGAGGAGGAGGAGGAGGAGGAGGAGGAGGAGAAGGAGGAGGAGAGGGGGGAGGAGGAGGAGGAGGCATGATGATGATGATGATGATGATGATGATTGATGATGATGATGATGATGATGATGATGAATGATGATGATGATGATAATGATGATGAAGAGGAGGAGGAGGAGGAGGAGGAGGAGGAGGAGGAGTACGAGGAGGAGGAGGAGGAGGCGGCGGAGGAGGAGGGGGATGTGGTGCTCGCTGGTGCGACCAGCATCGGCCGCGGAGGCGCCGCTCTCCTCGCGCAGGGCGGCGGGCGCCCCACCAGACGAACCTACTACTGCGCGCGCAAGAGGGGGATGTGGTTCTCGCTGGCGCGACCAGCGTCGGCCGCGGTAGCGCCGCTCTCCTCGCGCAGGGCGGCGAGGTCCCGCCCCACACCGTGCGAGGCCTCCAGAGCGCTCCTCGAAACCTGGGCGGGGGGCACACGCAGGGGGGTGGAGCGCGCGGAGGCGGCCTTCCGAGAAGGCGAGGCAGCCTTCTAAGAACGGGAGGAGGAGGAGGAGGAGGAGGAGGAGGAGGAGGAGGAGGAGGAGGAGGAGGAGGAGGAGGGGGAGGAGGAGGAGGGGGAGGAGGGGGAGGAGGACGGTGGTGGTGGTGGAACAATCGCGGTGCGATACGAAAAGGAAACTACGAGCGCTTACGAACGAGCACATCGGCCTTGCTTAGAGCCTTCGGCCATCGATCGGTTTCTATCCGATTTTAATACTCATTTCGATTCGCAATCGTGTGCCCAGGACATCCTTGACCCAGGCCCCTGATGGCACTACTAGCATAATACCCGCACTGTGAGCAGAACCAGAGGCCCAGGGATCTATGCAGGCGCATCTTATGACTACTGTGTACCCAACCCCCCCCATGTGTAATTTAACCCCCGACGGCAACGCAGAGAACCTACCATCAATATGCACGGGCAAAAAAAAACACTAGGAAAAAATACACTGGAACTTCGCATCAAAGGTGGATGAGCTACCGCATATCGTGCAACGCTTGCCAGACTCATTGAGAGAATGTGAAGTCGCAAACTGCCTGCAAACGGAAAAGGCTGGCGGTGGCGGAGGCTCACATCCAACAGCTTTTTTTTCCGAGAGGCACGACTATTCCGCAGCAGCTCCCTTTCCGTATCTAGAGCACCAATCGTGGCTCTGATCAATCTCAATCAAATATGGCACACTTCTTTTTCCGTTGTGTGCACACGAAACCTTTCATCCTCCGCCACTCTGACACGACCAGCCGCCGTGCCAGCAAGCTCGTCGACTGCAGCGTTGCCCACGACTAGCTGCCAAGGCGCCACACCCTGGATCACCTGCTGCGGTGACAGGTGAGAATTGACAAACAAAACAATGAACTCTGCCTCGTTGCGCTGCTCCATGGCAACGCCGATCTTGTGCCACAGATCTGCGCCCCCGCCTTCTGGCGAGGCGAAACGGCGGGCACGCCATCCGTCTGCCACCGCACTGTCGTCGGTGACGAAATATACGAACCCGCTGGACATCTGGCTGGCGACTAGCAGCGCCATCAGCTCCGCCCTGGGCACGCTCTGCCGCGCGCCTGGGAGGCCGCCCGAGACCGATCCTGAGAGGACCAGCGGGTCGAAACAACTGATGCTGATGACGGCTAGCCCGACTCTCCGAAATCTGCTGTCGGCCGACTCGGGGCCGCCGCCGGCGTCTCCGAAGAGCCAGAGCGGCCTCTGCGCCGAGTCAGTCCCGAACGAGAGGCTGTCCAGACTGCTCGCCGCCGTGCCCGTCACGCGACACCCCTCGCGGTCGAGCGGGGGCGCGACCGCCGTCCAGCTAGCGGGGGTGAGGCCCCGCGGCCAGTAGCACTCCTCGCTCTCGTGCCTGCTGTACGCCTGCGGCAGCAGGTCCTGCGACCGATCGTACGCTGGCGTCCCGATGTTCTTGCTGCAACTCCAGCCCCTGTGGGGCATGGCCCCATCCGCCTCGCCGCATCTGGGACAAAGGCGTGAGAGGCCCAGCGCTTCGGCCCCTGCAGCGCCCACGCGCCGAGCCATCGGCCAGCTGCCGCCCGTGGCCACCAAGCTGAGCACCTCGGCCATGCGGTTGCCCTTCGGCTGGCTGGCGAGCTGCTGATGGAGCTTCCTCACCGAATAAATGTCCACGCCGTGCTCCGCTCCGCCTCCATAGAAGTGTTCCCCCGCACCCTGCCATAGACGTGAAAGTATAGAACCATGAAGGTCCTTGACTAGACCTGACTGAGCGTCGACGTCCACGAAGCCCGTCCAAGCCGCGCCAGGGAACTGCCATTCGATGACTTCGCCTGACGAGGTGGGCGGCATACTCCCGCAGACAGCAGACTGTGGGCCCCACCCGTTGTCCAGAAGAGGTGCCACCATCGCAGACAAGGGCCCGCGGATGTGGCGCGAGCGGTGGTTGGGCTCGACCTGCTTCAGGCGCGCCACGACCGTCGGCCACGCTGCATGAACCCCTGCTCTCAAGGGCGGCCCCTGCTGCCAAGCCCGAAACCAAAGACGCACAAACTTCTCTGGCATGCGTAGCGCTGGGCCCGACGGCGTCTTCAAACCAATGAGCGTCGTCAAACATCGCCCCCGAGCTGCCGAGCCAACCGCCGCGCCCAGTCTGCGCCTGCACGTCGCGAGATATGATCCGAAGGCCCCGTGGACCTGGCACGCGTAGCTCACCGCCGCCTGCGCCCCAAGCCTCTCTAGCTTGGATGTGACAAGGGGCCCTGTGCCCTGCTGCTTTAAACCGTCGAATCTGGCTGTGCATCTTACCGTGCGTCTGGAATCGAGCTCTACGCGTGGCCCTCGCGTGGGCACTGCCGTTGCCCAGGTCTGATCCCAGGCGCGCCGCTGCCCGCTGTCCTCTGCGCCTTGACTGCGAAGCCAGTCCGTCGCAAAGCTCCATGTTGACAGCATCATTGAACACTGGACACGTAACCACACTTTTCTTTGCCACCTGAAGATGCACCTTTGCGAGCCCTCGGCAAGTGCCCCGCAAATAGCAAACCATGTCCGTTACAACTGGAGTCTTGGAACCAACCACTCGCCGCGGTAGGTCGTCGACCCACGTTCTGCAGCTCGTCCGCGGATGGGCCGCACAAATACGCTGCAACGTGAAATGTACAACAATGCGTGCGAATATTGCGCCTGGTCGCAGGCCCTGTACAATTGATTGGGCGGGAATGAGGGGCGGCGACAAAGCTCCTCTTTGAACCAACGTGCGCACAGACAGGCATTGAAGTGTTTCCTAGCACAAGGTAGCAGCTGGAAAGCCTAACTTCATTCCGTTGGGAACTAATACCTGCCAGCGAATACTGTCGTAGAAAGTTCCGATGTCGATCAAACCGTGGGCTGAAGAAATAAACAACACACGGCCCACTTCATCTCGAAGTGTCCGAAAGAACGCCTCTCTCAAGGCTGAGTTGTTCTTGACTGCTGCGCCCCAGTGGGCCGCCGTCGCCTCACTCCACTCGCCCACGACGGGCCCGCGAAGAAGCGACCAAATTCTGGCGAACATAATCAACAATCCTATTATGCAATCGCCGCCCGCCTTCTTTGGCAGCAATCTTCCTAGCACCACCAATACCTGGCGGGGCCAGACTGCTTGCTGCCCACATGTCATGTACAAAGAAGCAAGTTCGCCCAATGCTGAAGGCGGCAGTCGCTCGACATGGACGGGCGACATCGGGCCCAATCCCATGCCAGTCCGCGGGCGCGTGCGGTGCGCAGCTGCGCGCACCATCTTGCCCGTGATCTCAGGCAGGGCCTCGCACTGGGCTCGCTCCTTGGCCCGACGAAAGCACTCGCGAACCTCATCGATGTCGTCGCGAGTGGCACACCATAGCTTGCGCCGTTTGCTGGTCTTCTGCTCGATGACGTCCTTGGGATTGATGAGCGCGGCGTCGTCCAGCCCGACCTCCAAGGGCACCAGCGGCTCATCCTTGATGCCCTTGTGGAGTGGGCCAAGGGTTGGAGCCGTCTCCATCCATTCACCAAACTCACGCAGCGAAGCTGCAAGTGCTCCACGCTGGCACCTGCTCGCCACTCTCTCCGCACTGGCTGCGAGGATCTCGATCTCCGCCATGTCAACCGTCCGAACGTTACGAAAGAAGCTCCGCCATCGCCGCCGCGATGGGTCTCCTCTCTGCTGCACGCGCACACGTAGGCCGGCGCGGGCCTGCACCGGGCACTCCGAAACCAATTCGCCAATAGACGTGATAAGATGATCCCTCTGCTTGCTTCCATTCTGTCGTGTAGAATGCCTGCCAAGGGCATGAGGAAGTGCGCGAAGGCGAGCCCACCAACCTGCCACCAAGTCACGCGGGGCAGCCGCTCGATGACGAACGGAATGTTGTACAACACTCTCCTTGAAACTGGGACCAGCACAACAACAAATCTCATACTTATCCTGACAACCACGGTGCTCGTGTAGTGAGATTTCAACCGCTCGCATCCACGAAAAGAACCAAGAGAGAATCTGCTTGCGCCGAACCTGATTTATAGGCCGAACGGCTACGGAGGCAAGCATATCAAGGTGCGGAGAGCAAAGCTTGAACGGAGCGCACCCAACTTCGGCCCGACTCCGCCCCCAGACATCTTCAGAAATGTAAATTCAACTGACGGTACCTCGACGCCAGCACCACTAGACTCGCATGGGGTTGCCGAATCGGAGCGGGGGCTGGGCACCTATAACAGATAAATTCGGGAGATCGAAACCCTGGTCGGGGGCCAAAGTGCCGCCCGAGAGGACACAAGAGCTCGACTCTTGGTCCAACACAGGGTCGACCTCCTTCGAATTGCTCGAATTTGCCTGGGGCTCAGAAGATCCAGGAAGTTGAGCAGCAGCTACACTGGCGAACTCAGACTCGTGGACCCAGGGGTCCTCCTCGCCTCCGCTCGGGTCCAGGTCGAAATCGGGGTCGAGGTGGGCCCAGGGGTCCTGGGCGATGGCCTCGTCGAGATCCTGAGAGCTCCCTACACTACGACCATCCTCTTCACAGGTTTCGGCCTTCTCGAAAGTGCATCCGAAGTTGTACTCGAAACAACTCCTGCGAGCTTGCTTCGCGAGGGCCTGCTTTGCTGTTTTTTTTTCCTCTCGGGCCCGACTGGACTTCGAGTCAGGCTGCGGGGCCCGGCGAGGCCGCCCTACCTGGGGTAGCGGCCTGGCGACCTGCAGCACTCGCGTGAGCAACTGATCGCCTGAGGCTCGCAGCGTAACCAGCAGCCCCGCGCGGGGCTTCCAGGGCACGGCAGGGACGCCAACGACCGACTGGATGTAGCCTCGAGCCGCCTGCGAGCAGATGACGTAGTCCAAGATAGAGCCAGACTCGCCCAACTCGAAGGTGACTGCCAAAATGTCTGCGTCAAGAATGCATGGCTCTCCTAGCAGACGGGCGAAAACTCCGAGTGGCGCATGACATCGGACTTGATGTTCCAGTCACCGATGACCGCCCACGGTAACTGAAGTGAAATGAGCATAACACCAAGCTTCTGGAAACGCGTGACACTGCCTCCGCCAAACTGCACACTGGGGAGGCCGTAGAGAACGACGAGAACGATGCTGTAGCCCCGCGTGTGGGCGATCACGGCCTGGAAGCCGTCGAGCGCCGCCTGCCCTGAGGCCTCCAACCTCGTGGCTGTAGACTTCGTCAATGCGTTCTGCACCTGCAGATGCTGTCGTGCCAAAAACCATTCGCCTCCCTCACAGGATCGATGGATCATAGCACGGGTAACTCCTTTCCTCTTCGGCCGCGCATGATTGGCCAACAAGTGGTAGCCAGCTCACCTGGCTTTCACATCCCACTTTCTGAACTGAGACTCGATCACATGAGTCTCGCACACCCCCAACGAAGTCGCAGTTCGACTTCATCAAAATATCCAAACATTTGTCAGACATCACGGTAACATCCGAGAAGAAGAATCTGGTGGATGCCTTCCCCGCCCGAGGCTGCTCGGGCTGCGAGGCAGCTCGCAGGCTGCCGCCCACAAGCCCCGCGGGGCCCAGTCACAGATCAGGGCCCATTTCGCCCGTGCAACCCGTGGTGGAGCCAGCCTTGCCGACGCCACCGTTGTTGCCTTGCCCTTGCCCATGGACTTGCCGAGCGATGCCTTCTGCTCAGCGAGGGCGGCCCTCTGCGCAGCAAATTTCGCCGCCGAAAACCTGGACGCCAACTGCTCGAGCTGGTCGGCCTCCTGCTTGGCGGGGGCTGCGGCTGAGGCTGCGGCAGCGTTGGTGCCTGCCGTCTGGGCCTCAGCGGTGGCCTCGCCGTGGCCCCCAGAAGGGGCCGACTCCCCACCGGCCGTCTTCCGCTTCTTCGCGAGGCGATCGTCGACCTCCTTGCGTACAGCGGCGGCCTTTTCCAGCATCTTCTGGATGTCCGTCTCCTTGGAGCTCAGGCTCTTCTGCAGCTCCTGCGACTGGGAGTGGACGAGGCGCAGCTCCTGGCGCCCCGACTCCTCGCGCTCCAAGTCCTCGAGCCCTTGGAAGAGCGCCTCGTTCCACGTGACCTTGAAACTCGGTTGGTTGGAAATACCACCACCCGCGCCAGCAGCGACTGCGGAGCTCGCGATGCCCTCCGCCTTCGCCAGCGCCTCCGTAGCGGCCTTCTTGACCTTCTCCGCCTGCGCTAAGGCCTGCGCAGCCAGCTTCTCCTTCTCGATAGCGATGGACAGTTGTCTTGCAACCGTACAACGTCCGCCACAGCCTGAGAATGTTTATGATCAGCATCTCGGTACGCGCCCATGGCGCGCTTGACTGCATCGGCTTCCATGCCTGGGACCATGGTATCGGGGCATGCCGCCTGGAGCTTGACCAGCTCCGCCGAGACCGCAGCCTTGAGCACGGACGGCTCTGTCTTCTCCGCGACCTGCTGCAGCAGCCGATTCAGGCCAATCTCCTGGTCGGCCTTCGAGCTCGTGCCCGTGCCCATCAGATCGGTCCCAGCACCCTTGCCGACCTTCTTCGGGACGTAGAGCTTGACCTTGCGGCTGCAATTGTAGCAGCAGGAATTGTTGGTGAGCAAGCAATCGTTCCACTCGACCATGTGGCAACCCTTGCACGGAGAAGACGCACGATGATTAGCCATGATGCAGTAAGTAACTCCCTGTGTTTGTCAGCGCCAGCAAGAAACAACTGAAGAGACTCTCTGGGCACGGTCCCCCAAGCACCCCGTGGAGGCACAGGCGAGCGGCTCGCGCAAAATGCTTGAGCCCAACTTGCTTGAGGGGGGAGGAGGAGGACGAGGAGGAGGAGGAGGACGAGAAGGAGGAGGACGAGGAGGAGGAGGAAGAGGAGGAGGAGGAGGCGGAGGAGGAGGAGGGCGTTTTGCGGGGCCCTGCCCGCTTCGGGGTAAGCCTTCTTGGAAGTTTCCTGGCCCCTCTGAGGATGCCCTGGCCCTCTGAGAAGCCCACTGCCTCCTTAGACGGCCGCCCCCCTTGCCACCCAGAGATCCGATGCTTGATCTGCTCCACACGGGTCCCCGAAGTAGGTCTCGACCCACTCCCCGGGGCCGGCCTTGCATCCTGAGTCGCCTAACTGCGGCCCCGGGGCCCGGCGTGGGCCTCCAGAGGCCGGAGACGTGGGCATGCCTCCGTGCTGCGCTGCTTCAGCTCGTTGGATCTCTGGGAGCCTCCCTCCTCCTGCGCGCGCCGCCGGGCCTGCAGCGACTCGTGCACCGCCGCGTCCAGGGCCTCCCAGGAGCCCCGCGAGCCGCGCCGCTCCTGCCCGAGGTCCCTCCGCAGCGCCTCGCTGCCCCGCCCGAGCGCCTCGCTGCCGCGCCTCGCCTCCGCCAGCTCGTGCTGCAGGGTCCGCGCGGCCGCGTCGTCGTCCTGCCGCCTGGCGCCACGCAGCAACTGTGCAGACGTCCGCTGGGGGGCTTGCGCTTCGGGCCGGGCAACGAAGAGGCGGATACTGCAAGTGGGTTGACTACCTACCAGACCACCCCAACCCAACCCGAAGACCCGAATTTGACCCGAATTTCGGGTTGGGGGGGGTACGGATTCCATGTGTTTTCTCAACGTTCCCCGACCCCCCCCCACTGGAAATCGAGGATAACTTGAGGCCTTCGGGTTGGGTTGGGGTGGCTTGGTGGGTGGTGATGGGTGGCGACATCCGACCCCTACCCCCCCCCCCAACCATCGATTCTCCTGAATCGATGGGAGGCGGGGTTAGGGTTCGGGTTTTGCCACGTGCTCGACGGATTTCGAACCCCATACCCCCGATGCTGATCGAGTCGTCTGGCTTGTTGATCGGCGGCAGTAGGGTTCGGAGTTCGCCGACGAGCTCCAGGGCTGACGCTTCGAGCTCTCGCGCTGCGGCCTGCCCAAGGAAAGATAGCAAAGGGGAGGTTCTGGAGGGAGCATCAAGGGAAGACAGCCCAGGGGGTAGGCATTGCACTCTTCGTTGATTGGCAGCAGCGGCCATGTTTGGACGCAGGAATAGATCATCTGAGCTTCAAGAAGCGCGTGACACGGCGATGGTGCATCGAATGCCGCGGTAGCGCCGGTCCTAAAAGGACGCGCACGGGGCGAGCCAGATGCGTTTGTTGCTGTCCATCGCTACTGACTCAGACGACGACTGCGTCCAGGGACACTTGGAAGCTCATTGCGACGCGAGCACTGCTGTGGCCTTTGGGGTATCACAACGTCAAGTGGCGTATTCCAGAAACCCTGAATAACAAAAACTACATCTCTTGGGGGGGCATCTTGTGCTTCTGCTCATTTCCGCCGTCCTGCCACCGGCTTCCGCTGGCGAAGCCGCCGCGTGTTGCTTCCACCCGCATTCCACCACCTTCCGCCGAGGAAGAGAGATAAACTCCTCGATCCCTCGAAGGGGAGGCTTTCTCTGGAAAGCCTCAGATCACCGCAGCTGGTTGTGGCGGGGCAGCAAGGCATCCTTCGGCTGCACGCAAGAGTGACCCTACTTGCAACGGTGACCTTTTAGTGCACGGCTTTGGAGGTCCACGCGGGGCCCCAACTCAAGCACGCGAGCCAGTGCTGGGGTCCACCCCTGATGGGCCCGCACAAAAGGTCACTCTGGCGAACGTTCACTCTTACCTGGGGGTAGGCAAGGGGTGTGGTGCAAAGGGGTGTGGTGCCAGTGCTGGATCTGGCGAGGTGATCCATTAGATAACATCGACACGTCCACGACTGGCACCACGCGCAGCCGAGTCCTCTCCGTCGCACCTCAACTGGGGGAGTGGCGCCTGACCGAGGCAGGCGGCGGGGGGGCCGAGGACGGGCGACCCGGGAGAGCGCCACAGGTGCGGCAGGAGCGAGCAAGTGCAGCCACGCTCTCGGCCACGCGTGTCGACCGCGCCGCGGTGTGCACGTGCTGCGTCCTGCCTGCCGTTGGCCACAGCACGCAGCTCCGCCTGCGCGTGCCCAGCTCGGGGTGCGATTCTTCGGCTCCCGCTGCAGGATGCAGCCACTGGGCCTTGGGGGGAGCCGCCCAGTCGTCACCGGTGGGCGACGCGCTCCGCGATTACAGGGCTGTCGCTCTTCTTCCTGCGTCGACGTGGACACGGGAGGATGCCGCACTGCTGGGCAGCCCTTGGCCGAACATCTTCGATGCCTTAGCTCACCGTCGTGCACGACGATGCGCACTGAGCGCGCATAACTCCCTGCCGCTACCGACATCCTGACCGGCAGCGGTGAAACTGGGCTCGCAGCGTGCGCCTCCACATGCTGCCTGGGCCAGCGCCGCACCCAACCCCATATGACGTCGCGCTCCCTTCCTTGACGTGGCTCCCCAAAGGTCTGGACCCCGTTCACCCGGGCCGGACTCTTCCTCCCGAACCGATGCTGGACCGTCCCCGAGCCTGGCATGGGCCCCCCTGGGGGACGGAAACGGGCACGACGCGAGAATGCCTGGCCTCCGGCTCACCACTCGGGTCTCTGGCGGCCCCTCGGGACTCTCCAGGCTCCCCCGGAGCGCCCTCGGCGAGGCGAAGCTGCAGGAAGCGCCCCTCACAAAATCGACGACGGCAGTCCCGACCTCCAGGGGTGGGCGGAGCACGTGTCAGGGGAACTAACAATGACATAAACATAAAAACTCGGTGGGGCGCGCGGATATCTCGGATGCGCGCTGGACCCCCCTCCCTGGCGCGCGGAGCGCGCCAACGGTGGCGCCGGAGGCGCCGCCAAGGGGCCTCAGCGCCGATCCGAGAAATCCGCGCGGACCTTCGAATTTTATGTTTATTCGACAAGCGCGTTCCACTACTCGCAGAGTGACTACTCGCAAATGGCCTGGATCCGCCACGGGGGACCTGCGATAATCTACACTAAGGAAAACACATGTTTTTCGCACGTTTGCGAGTAGGCACTTGGCGAACAGTGGAGCGCGCTCGATGATTTATGTCATTGCTCGTTCCCCCTACGTGTGCATACTTTGCGGCGGGCGCCTCCGCGAGGACTGATCCAGCCGTCGCTGCAGGCCGCCCAGCTCCTCGTCGGTCTTGCGGCACCGCTCCTCGGCCCTCTGGGTGCTCTCCTCGGCGGAGGCGCAGCCGGGGGCTGGGGCGAGGGAGGCCGCCCTCCAGAAAGCAGGGGGGGGTCTGAAAAGGGCCCCCAGCTGCTGCATCAGAAAGAGACCTGCGCAGACACGAACTTTCAGAGCTCCGCGCGAAGCCCCGAAAGTTTACGAGCATGCAACTCGCTCTTACTCCCGTGCGGCAGGTTCCCGTCGTGTCGACCGCGGCGTTGGTTCCTGACACCGCGGGGATCGTTCATACTTGAACGATCGGCCGTTCCATGTACGCCGGATCGATCAACGACGGGCCGATTCTGGGCCACGGGCGGCGTTCAACCTTAGACGCACGCGCCGGGGTCGCCGCCGGTCGACACGACGCGAACCTGCTGCACATGGCGGATCCCAGAAACCCTGAACCCAAAAACGTTGGCGTCTCGCTTACGCTCGGGAGCCTTCCGCCGACCTCCCGCCAGCTTCCGCCGGCGCACCTGCCGCCTCCCTGCTTCGGCGGTTTCCGCCAGCCTCCGCTGGACTCCGCCAGAGGCGCGACGCGCCGAGGCAAGGCCTGTTCAGGAAGATCGCCACGCGAGATGGCATAGCGACCTTACGCGGTGGCTTGCGCGGGCCGCTACGTTGGAAACGAGGGCGCTCACGCGCGACCTGACGTGAGCAGTTCACCCGCGAATGCCAGCGAGGAGCAGTCCCACTCTCTCCCGTCGATCACATGTTTCTCTGCCGCCGTCGCGTGAATTGCACCCCGATGCTCTCCTTCCAAGAAAACTGCTTGGGCGGCGGGAGCGTTTCGAAAAAAAATGTTGTTCTTAACGCAAGGTCGTTTCGGATGTTCCTGACTAGGGGAATGAAGAATGACATAAACATAAAAACTCGGAGGTCCGCGCGGATTTGTCGGATCCGCGCTGGATCCCCCCCCCCTGGCGCGCGGAGCGCGCTCCCCTACTGACGCCCCCGAATCTTTTTTCGCCACTTTGTTTCACGACGCGAGGAGGTCTGGCTTTCGGATCAAAACTCGGGTCTTTGGCGGCCCTTCGAGACGATCCCAGCACCCCCGGACCGCTTTCGGCGAGGCGCAACTGCAGGAAAGCACCGCGAGGCTGGAAAACCTCAGGGAGCCGACTGAAGTAGGACGAGAAGAATCCGCCGACCCCTTGTGGGTCTCTAGGCGTGTGAGATAGTTCCCCCCCTACCCCCCCCCCATGGGACCCCAAACCGACGATTCGACCCCCCCCCCCATTCGCCCGGCCCGAGCGACTCACGGGCTCTTTTGGACCCAAAAGGGGCTCAAGACGGGCCAAGAAGGCCCCAAGACGTCTCCAACACGGCCCACGAGGGCCCCGAGACGCCAAACGAGCGCTCCAAGACGCCCAAGATGGCCCCAAGACGAGCCAAGAGGCCTCCAAGAACAGTCCGCAGAAGGGCCGAAGAGCCGAAAATCATCAAATTCCTATGGGAAAACGTACACTTTCATCATATACGACTTGTCGGCCTTTACGGCGTTGAAAACGGTCCAAGATACAAGACCTATGTTGCTTCACATCAGCAATTTGGCCCCTGCTGACTTTTTTCAAAAAAAATATATTGGGATGAAACGCTGCCGCTGGATATATCGAGCACAGTTGATCACAACACAAACGCTCCTGCGATCCCCGCCAAAATGGCAAGAAATGGTAAGCTCAGATCCGCATGGCTACATTGCAACCGAACCGCTTGACCACCATCTCGACCGAACTGGCGGAATTCGACCACGCGTCCGACAAAATACGTTCGACGAGGGATGCGCTGCACAATGCCCCGGCCACGGGCAGCGCTACGAGGGAAAGCGGGCCCTTTGTATAGTCTGTTATGTTGGTAGACTGCAGGTTCAGCGTAGGAAAGTGGGGGCTTTGCCATAGCCATTTGGGGTCAGTAGTCGTGGGCTCGAGATCGAGCCAGGACTCGGGGGTCCCGGGGGGCCGCGGGGCGGCCAAAACCGCAGCGTCCTGCACCGCCAGCTCTGGGGAGCGGGTGTGCGGACGTGGCCGGCGCTACCAGCCTCGTGGCGGGCGCGCGGGCCAGCGGTGCCACGGCCGTGGGCTTCCTCGGGGCGCATGCCGTGATCTTGGCGGTTGGTGGGGCGTTCTCGGCCCAAGGGGCGATGGGTTGGTGGCTTCTTGGCCGCGCGGGGGACGCAATGTCCCCAGCGCCGGCGCCGCCATCTCAGCCCGGGCCGAAACTCCGGCCCGCGGGCGGCGGGGGGCATGGCAAGGGGCGAGCTCCGCCCGCCAAGCCTGCGCCTGCGGCAAGGAAGGGGCGAGGGCCGCCGGCCAAACCTCCTGGGGTCACCATTACCACAACCACGACGACGACTACGACGTCGACGACTACGACGACATCTTCGCAGCCCGGCCCGAGCCGCGAGCGCGGGGGCGAACCCGCAGTTAGCCCAGCCGCGGCCTGGCCCGCAGGCCCCATTTCCACCACGACTGGCGTCGGCCGCGCGCGTGGGAGCGGACCTTCGGGTAGCCCAGCCGCGGCCGAGCCAGCGGGCGGGTCGGGTGCCCAGGGCGGCCCCAGTAGGGAAGAGCCACGCACCCCGCCCACGCATCCTGGGAGACCCGGCGAGGCATCAGGCCAGCCGACGGGGTCCCCGGGCTCCTACGGGCCCGGCGAGGCAGCGCTGATCTTCGACCCGCTGCGCTTCAGCTGGCTGGTTGCCGGCTGGTTGGCCTGCTGCGCGTTGGGCGCAGAGTTCCGACATCGCCGCATGGAGGCTGAGCTGGCCGAGAAAGGCACCAACCTGCAGCTTTGGGCGACCGAGGCGCTAGACGCCGGGGAGAAGCTGGCCGAGGCCCGGTCGCGGTGCACTGCTCTGGAGGCCGAGCGGTCTCGCGCCGCCGAGGGAGCCGAAGCGTGGCGCCAGGCTTACGAAGAGGAGGCGGCTCGCCGGCAGGAGACGGCACGGCGACAGAGGATGGCCGAGAGGCTCGCCCAAGGGAAGAGCCAGGCGTGCGAGTACGAGCGGGCGCGCAGATTCCGTGCCGAGGAGGCCTTGGCGGGGAGCCGCGCGGACGTCGACGTCGACAACTTGTGGGCGTGGATCGACGGCCTGTCGGCATGGATCGACCGCCTGACGACGAACCTCGAGCTGGGGGCCACGACCGCCGAGATCCTGCGGGCCCGCGTCGACGAACTCGAGGCTGCCGCAGAGACGGGGGGCGAGGCAGGAGTAGGCACCGCGGACTTTGTCACGGAGCCACGCGCCGCTGGGGACGATGAGACCGAACGGGCGGTCCCGCCGCCCTCGCGCGAGCCCGGCGGGGTCGCCCCGACCGAAGGGGCCGGCGGCAGAGGAGGAAGAGGAGTGGGCGGCGGAGGCGAAGGAGCGGCGAGGGAGGAGGTCTTTCCGAGAGCGACGATGAGGAGGCGGAGGAGGATGAGGAGGACCACTACCCAGGGGGAGCTCATTCTCATTCCCGAGGAGCCCGAGGAGATCAGCCTCGGGGAGCATCGCGCCCTGGGCGAAGCCGCGGCTGCCTCGGGCCTGGCGCCGGGAGCGGGCGACGATGGCGACGACGATGCGGGGGTGCCGGGAGGGTCAGAGGTCAAACTGGTCCGCGCCCACGAGGACGTCCACGGCGCCCGGATGCCGGCGGGTTGCTGGGGCTCCGTTGGTGCCAGCGCCCGCGCCGTCGCCGAGGCCCGCGCCGGCGCCAGCATCGGCGCCCGTGCCCCCGCCGACCCTGACACCAGGGAGTACCGCAACGGGGGGGCGCGCATGGGGTCGTGGACAGGCGCGGACGTGGAGCTCGGCGCTGTGCACCTGGGCGACGCCGGCGCCGACGACCGCACCGACACCTACGCCTCCGCCGTCGCCCGCGCTGGCCCCATCGCCTGCGCCCGCGCCCGCGCCGACGCCGACGCCATTTGCGACGCGCCCGCTGACGCCGGCGGCCGCGACTTCGACGCCTCCGCCGGCACCAGCACTTTCGCCGCCGCCGCCGCGACCGGCGACGCCGATGCCGGAGCTGGCGCATATCGCAACGCGGCGCCTCCGCCGCCGGCTCCGGATCTTTGGCGCGGCGCTGGCCCCGAGCTGAAAGCGCGGCTGCGCCGGCGCGCCCTGCCCCTTGAGGGGGCCGGAGGCGCGCTCGCGGGGCACCGCTCTGAGCGGGCAACTGCGGAGGCGGCGGGGCGGGCGCTACCGGAGGCCAAGCAGTACTGGTTGACGGTTGTGCCCGAGACCTGGGAGGTCGCGCCGATGGATCGCGAGGAGTCCCCCCGAGAAGCCCCGGGGGCCCTGGAGTTGGGGCAGCCGCTGCTGGATGAGGCTCGCCGCCACCGCGCCGCGGGCGTGAGCGTCACCGAGGACTTGAGGAGGGCCGCGGGGTCGGACGGGGCCGAGACGGTCGTGGAGGCCGACGAGGTTTGTGACCTGGACTGGGCCAGGCTCGGCGCCGCGGGCCCCGAAGAGGGCCCCGTTCCCAGCATTGACGCCACCACCGTCGTCGACCCCGCCGTCACCGCCTGCGCCATCGTCAGCGCCGACGCCAACGCCGACGCTGACATCGACGCCGATACACGGGCTGGCACCGGGGCCGCCTCCTGCGACGCTAGCGCCGACGCCCCCAATGTCTCCGCCTCCGCCGCCTACAACGCCAGCGACGACGCCAGCGCGGGCGCCTACGCCGAGGCCGCCGCCGAGCCCGACGCCGGCGACCGCGCCCCCGGCTCCGACGCCTATGAGGACGTTGCCGCTTTCGCGGCCGCCAGCGCAGGCGCCAGCGCCCACGCTCCCAACGTCACCGCCGACGCCGGCGTCAACGCCCTCGGTTGCGAGGCCCGCGTGGGCGCCGCCGCGCACCCGGCGGCGAGCGCAGGCGCCAGCACCGACGCTATCGTCCTCACCCGCTCGGAGGCCGGCGAGGTCTGGGCCGTGCGTTGGTCCAGACCTGGCGCCAGGAGCCCCGACGTGGGACTCGGCACCCGCACCGACGCCAGCGTTGAGGTCGGCTCCAGCATCACGGCCTACGCCAACGTCAGCGCCAGCACCGACGTCCGCGCCAACGCCGACGCCTCCGATGCCGATGCAGGCGCTACCGCCACCGCGACCGCCAACGCCGCGACCGGCGCCGACGCTTGCGCCACCGCCAGCTCCGACACCGGCGCCTTTACCAGCACGGACGACGAGGTCTGGGACTTAGAGTGGCTCCGGCACGGCGCTGACGCGGGCCCCGCTACCGGCATCGGCGTCAACGCAGACGACGTCAGCGGCGTCACCGCCTACGCCGAAACCAACGCCGCCGCCGACCCCAGCGGCGGCCCCGACGACGCCGCGACGGTCGGCGTCAGCAGCGATACCATCGCAGGGATCGGGGCCGACGCCGACGCCGACAGGGACGTCTGCACGGGCACCGGCGCCCGCGCCGCCGCCGGCGTCGACGCTGGCCCCAACGACAGCGACCGCGTCACCAGCACTACGCTTCCGCACGCGCGCGCTTGGCTCCGCAGGCTCCGTGCCGCTCACGCGGGCTTCCTCGCGCGCGCGCGCTGCCCGTTCGGCTTTCTGTCGCGCTTAGCGCGACGCGCGCGTCTCGGGCTCTTCGCGGGCGCGGCTTCGCGCCGGCGGGCCGGCGCCGCGCGATCGGGGCTCGTTGGCCCCCTGCCTGAGCGAGGCCGTGGGGGCCAGCTCGGGCGCGCGCCGCGCGCTGCCGGCGGGGCTTGCCCAGCCGGGGTGCCGCAACTGCCTTCGCCGCCACCGCCGTGGGCCGCTCCGCGCCTGCCGAATCGCGAGGACTGCCGCGCGGGCGACTCCACCTCCACCACTGCTGACGCCAGCGCCGACGTCGACGCCAACGCCGCCGCCTGCTCCGATAGCGACGGCAGCGCCGACGCTGACGTGGGCGCCTACGCCGACGCTGAAACCGGCACGGAGACCGACACCGACGCCGGCATCGACGTGATCGCCTACACTGGGACCAGCGCCTGCGCTGCCGACGGCGCCCGCGCCCGCGCTGGCACTGGCGCCCGTGCCCACGCCGGCGCCGCCGCCAGCCCCAGCGCCAGCGACAGCGCCACCGGCGCCGACGTCGCGGTCGCGGGCGTGGTCGCACACCAGGGCACGCACCATGGGGTGCACGCTGCTCAGTTCCGCTTCTTAGCTGGCGCGCAGTGGAGGTTCGACCCCGCCCGGGTCCAGCCGTGCGAGGTGTCCATCACGGGTGCCCATTCTAGGCTCGTCGAAATCGGCCAGGACGCGCAGCCGAAGGCCGACGCCGCCCATGTCCAGCAGGCCGTAGGACCTGGGACGGCTGTTCCGGCCAAGCTCGACTCCATCGTGCAGGACGTGCCGCGGAAAGCCGACCTTGCGGATTCCGACGCCAGCGCCAGCGCCGACGCCGCCGCGAGAGTCGGCGTCAGCACCGATGCCAGCGCAGGGGCTGGGACCAACGCCGACGCCGACAGGGACGTCGGCACGGGCACCGGCGCCCACGCCGTCGCTGGCGCTGACGCTGGCCCCAACGTCGGCGACTGCGCTACCGGCTACGCGCTTCCGCACGCACGGGCTTGGCCCCGCAGGCGCCGTGCAGCTCGCGCGGGCGTTCTCGCGTGCGCGCGCTGCCAGTTCTGCTTTCCGTCGCGGCAAGCGCGGCGCGCGCGTCTCGCGCCCATCGCGGGCGCGGCTTCACGCCGGCGGGCCGGCGCCGTGCGGTTGGGTCGCGTTTGCCCCCCGCCTGAGCGAGGCCGCGGAGGCCAGCTCAGGCACGCGCCGCACGCTGCCGGCAGGGCCTGCCCAGCCGGGGCGTCGCAGTTGCCCTCGCCGCCGCCGCTGCAGGCCGCTCCGCGCCTGCCGAGCTGCGAGGGCTGCCGCGAGGGCGACTCCGCCTCCGCCACCGCCGACGCCAGCGCCGACGTCGACGGCCCGTGGAGGGCCGCGGGGACGGACAGGGCCGAGACGGATGTGGAGGCCAACGAGGTTTGGGACATGGACTGGGCCAGGCTCGGCGCCGCGGGCCCCGACGGGGGCCCCGCTCCCAGCGCCGACGCCGCCACCGTCGTCGACACCGTCGTCACCGCCAGCGCCAACATCAGCGCCTCCTACGACGCCAGCGTCGACCCCCCCAACGTCCCCGCCTACACCGACATCGGCGCCGGCGACGGCGCCAGCGCCGACGCCTACGCCCGCGCCACCGCTCCCAGCGTCACCGCCGATGTCGGCATCAACGCCCTCGGGTCCAGGGCTCGCGCGGGCGCCGTCGCCTACTCGGCTGCCAGCGCAGGCGCCAGCCCCGGCGCTATCGCCCACGCCGAGGTCTGGGCCAGCGAGGTTTGGGCCATGGGTTGGTCCAGGCTTGGCACCGGTTTTTCCGTCGTGGGATCCGGCACCGGTGCCGACGCCAGCGTTGAGGTCGGCCCCAGCATCCCGGCCTGCGCCAACATCAGCACCAGCACCGACGCCCGCGCCGAAGCCGGCGCCTCCGATGCCGCTGCAGGCGCTGTCGGCGACGCCGCCTACGCCGAAATCAACGCCAGCCCCGATGCCAGCACCGGCGCCGACGCCGCCGCGAGAGCCGGCGTCAGCATCGATACCAACGCGGGGGCTGGGACTAACGCCGGCGCCGACAGAGATCTCAGCACGGGCATCGGCCGCGCAGCTCGTGCGGGCGTTCTTGCGCGCACGCGCTGCCAGTTCCATTTTCGGTCACGCTTAGCGCGCGACGCGAGTTTGGCGCCCTTCGCGGGCGCGGCTTCGCGCCGGCGGGCCGGCGCCGCGCGGCTGGGTCGCGTTTGCCCCCTGCCTGAGCGAGGCCGCAGAGGCCAGCTCAGGCGCGCGCCGCGCGCTGCCGACGGGGCTGGCCCAGCCTGGGCGTCGCAGCGGCCCTCGCTGCCGCCGCTGCATGCCGCTCCGCGCCTGCCCAGTTGCGAGGACTGCCGCGAGGGCGACCCCGCCTCCGCCACCGCCGACGTCGACGCCGACGGCGCCGCCTATGCCGACAGCGACGCCAGCGGCGACGCCAGCGCCGACGCTGACGCAGGCGCCTGCGCCGACGCCGAGACCAGTGCAGAGCCCAGCACCGACGCCGACGTCGGCACGACCGTCTACACTGGAACCGGCGCCCGCACCGCCGACAACGCCCGCGCTGGCACTGGCGTCCGCGCCTCCGCCAGCGCCACCGCCGGCCCCGGCGCCAGCGACGGCGCCCCCGACGCCGACGGCGCGACCGTGGGCGTAGTCGCACACCGAGGCACGCACCACGAGGCGGGCGTCGCTCGGTTCAGCTTCGTGGCTGCACGTACCGCCCAGCTGGCGTCGGTCATGCCAGCGGGGCTTAGCCGCGAGGGTACGAGCCTGCGGGGCGACGTTCCAGCGGCTGGGTTACTGGTGGCGGAGGACCTCACCGTTCGCATACTTTCGGGTCACGTGGAGGATTGCGCGCACGCCCTGGCGAGGCGTGGAGCCGGGCCCTCTGTCAAGGGCACGCAGGTGCTCGGCAGCGCGGGGGTGCCGACAGGCACGCTGACGCCCAGCAGCGCGCTCGCATTCCGAAGCGAGCCTGGGCTTTGCAGCACGCCGGTATTCGAGAG